ACTATGTTTACGAAGCAACAAAGGTACACCACAAAATACAGTTTTGTATTCCGGAGATGTTCAATTGATACAATGCATCATACAAGCTTCGGCAATTTCAAGTCTCCTTTTAGAGACTTCCCGTTTCTCTGCCCTTGATGCATACACAAATAAAGGGGTAACGGTTTATGTATGAAGACATTGCATTTGTATTGAGTGTTACTTCACATTACGAGCTGCCATTCTTAAGGAATGAAATTGCTCTAAGTTCAATTGCAAGAAGATGATGGTACAATATACAATGTGGAGACAAAAACCAATAAGACAAATATATACCATATAAGCAGGAATAATTAGAACAAATTGCTCTTCCAAGACATGCAATGTAAAGATCACAATTTTGACAAACTAATTTGAAGATGCGGTCCAAACCTGGTAGAGCTTTTAATAGCCTGTGCTTCATCTAATACCATGTATTGCCACTTCACACGACGAAAATACTTCTCATCCAGCACAAGTAGTTGATAGCTGGTAATGAGAATGTGAAATCCTGCATCTCTGGACAGACAAAATCATTAATTAGAAGGAAAACTGAATAGGATATAATCTTGGGCAGAACAGTAGAGAAACCTAGGATGTCAGATCTTCATGATATGTCAACTCAAACTGTCCGAGGACAATGGACAGGGTAAGACACTAATGTGGCTGCTAATGTTATAGGATCGTTCATTCAGCATCTGAACCTGCAAAGCCCTCATATACAGAGTATCCCTATAAATTCCTCTTAGACAAGTCCTTTACAAGTAGGAAAAAAAGAAAAGCTATTGGTCCTCTTGGATAGAGTATTCTCACTAATGCTTGAGAAAGCCATATTAAATGCTGTCTCAATCAAAACTCTATATTTAATAAAGACAGGTTGCTAACTTGCTATTATGATTCTTCAAACTCATAACAATATTTCACCTCTGAAGACATTACCGATTCCCCTGTTTGATCACATTGCATAACAATGTACAGTACTATGATCTAACCAATCAATCCCAGATTCTCACAGAAAGAGACCAACTATTCACATCATTCAAGGAAACCAAAAATCAGTAAACTGGAAATTACCTACGATAAAGCCGCTTGGGATTGATGTTCTTCCTAAGTATAGTACGCTCCTGGAGACCTCCCCAGTAAGGTATAGTTTTCAAGTCGGGGCAAAAACGGCTAATTTCATCAGCCCAATTGTTCAAGACTGAAGCCGGCGCAACAACCAGAAAGGGACCCCATATATTTTTTTCCTGCATGAGACAATGAGTTCAAGTAACTAGGAGTAGGGGTCACGACGACCACATTAAAGCAGAGCTGTAAGAAGAATAATCACCTCAGCCAGATGAGCTAAGAAAGCCATTGCTTGAATAGTCTTCCCCAGGCCCATCTCATCTGCCAGTATACCATTTAAACCCTAAAACCAACAGAGTTAGCTATTTCGAGGAAAGCTTGAAAAATATGTTAGGCATTGAACTATTTTGCACGCAATTATGATCCCTAACCTGCTCATAACAATTAACCAGCCACTGCAGACCCTTCAGCTGATATTCTTTTAGACTCCCATTGAAGAGTTTCGGCGTCTGAACGGTCGATGTAACGGGCATGGTGGAGCTGCAGATAACAGCTATGTAGGTCAGGAAAACGTTTTCAAGAACATTAAAAAAGAAGTAGACAAGAGCGTCCAGTAGACTAATTTATCGACTGGGGAGGTAAGGAAGGCTCACGGGTTATGTAAATCTATTTTGCCAGCTCCTGCCACTGAGTCATCAGTCGGCACTCCTTCAATATCTGCAGCTTCTCTCAGCCTAGAACATTCACTATCAAAAGCATTTGTCAAACTTTTCTGCTTAGAAACTGCATCTTGAGCAGCCTTCAAAGCTTCTTTTCTCAGCTCAGCATCCTCTGGAGTTTCTTCAGCAGGTTCGACTTCTGAAGAGCTTAAACCCAATTGTTCTGCATCCAGTTTCTCATCCCCCAGAGACAAAGGTTCAGATGACTGAGAACTTTGCTTGTTCTGCATGAAATGTCTGTACAGCTCGGTTTGCTGTATGAGAAAATTAAGGCGTTGCTGCTGCCTCTTTGCTTCTCGGAGCTCTTGTTCACGCTTTAAAGCTTCTGCAGCTTCCTTTTCCTCCTTTTTCCTTACCTCCGCCTATGACAAAAGCATGGGAATTTTTAGTTGTTTACATTCGAAATTTTAGCGCATGCTAATAACAAACCCTCTGTTAGTGCATATATGGAATCCCAGAGATGAAAGAAGCAGCAAATAAAGCTTTATGATAAAGAAAAAACAACCAAAATCAGTCTATTTGAAGATGATGGCATCCGAAAGTGCATATCATAAATACTCATAAAGCTTTGATAGGTGACTTTACCATCTCCTTATCTACTCGCTTCCAGAAAAGCAACATATCTCTGGCCAACTTTCTAGTTCGAAGTGCTGCAGTCCTCATAAGTTTGAGTGACCTAGTAACCTTCGCCTTCACCTGGAATGATGATCAGAAAGGACGGACTTTAAACAAAAGAACACAGTGACGAGGTATTTTTCTTAACTATTAATGCAAGTAGACGTGAAAAAACCACAACGTTATATGTGCTCACCTCTCTTTGACAGTTCTCTGACATCCTCTTCGCATCACATTGTTGTTTACGATGAAACGTACTGAAACTCTTATAATGTCTATTAATGTCCCTTCTTACAATGTTTGCCCAAGCCTTCCCAATCTTGTCCATTTCCTCCCTCTCTATCAAAGTAGGATCTTTAATTACCTTTGGTTTCTTTGGCAAACTCCGCTCAATGATCTGCATAATATGAAGCCCTCTATAGTCATGAATTGATAGAGAGACAAATGGCACTCATAGCTAAAAAAAAAAACGAAATCTGACAGAAACGAACCTCATAAGTGTCTCCTTTCTCTAAAACTTTAACATAATAAACCTGCAACAAGCCAGCATCTGACAAGATAGAACGTGGTATATTTCCAGCTGCCCCCTCAGGAATGGCAGACTTCAAAGCTTCCTCGGATATCTTAAGGTTGAACTTTGGCATGGAATTAGATGCTGCCAATGCCTTCAATCTCGCCTGAAGAGATTCATACTTGGGGTACGGATCTCCCATCCCAGCTTGGTTTTTGGACCCGATCCTTCTATCATTTGCCACCATTTGGTCCAAAGACCCCAAATCAAGCGTACTTTTCAGATAAAATTCCTCCACCTGGATGTCTGAGAAGCTTGGCAAATTCAAGGATGTAGCCAGCTTGTCATAAGAAGGAGGAATCCTATAGGTTATACCATCCCCAATATCTACATAAGCAGGCTCATAAAAGATTCTGCAAAGCATTACAGCCTTAATGGAATTAGCAAGACCATAAACTCAATCCGCTTGTATATAAAATACGAATGAGAAGTGAAAGAAATCCAATATCCATATCATTATCTGCTTAAGTCAAAGAATGACAACTTACTTGGGTGTAAAATCTGGGCCACGAGAGTCCCCACGCTTTGCTGTTGTGGTCTCATTCTGCCATTCAGATGTAACATCCATATCATGAACATACCCTCGCTGCTCGTTTCCTAACTTCCTGGTTTTTGAACTACCCATATTGGTCTTCGGGATGACTCCTGTTCGAGGAGGAGCGGGAGAAGGAGCTGGAGGAAGTGCGGGACTAGGAGAGCCCTTAAACCTCCTCTTGTACTTTTTAATGTGTTCTCCTAACATTGATCTATAACGCTCCTCTGTAATACGAGTGCCACCGTGAGATCTATCTTCCTCCTCACCCTCACTGTCAGCAGCCAGCTTCCTTCGCTTCCCCGAACTCAGTTCCTTCTCAGTTGCGCTCCCATTGCCATACTTTGCCATTGCCCCGCCTGTATATTATTAGTTCAGCTAACATAAGTAATACTTCATCTACACCAATGCCCACCTCCAAATGTCTGGGGCATGGCCCATATCGTGAATGCAAACTCTACAGATGATAATGATACAAGGAGAGAATCCAACTAAACTTATGGAAGGGAGAAAAACGGGTGGAAAGCAGGGTGTACCTTGGCTACCTCTGCTCTCATCCTGACTACTATTCCCATAATAATCAAAATCATCATCTGGTTGTGGGACTTTGAAGTTCATCAAAGACTAAAAAACAAACCAAAAGAGAAGAGAAAAGAGAACCCAGAATGAAATTCTTAATCATGAACACTAAACAAAAGCAGGAAACATCCAAACGAAATTCAATCAACTACCCAACTCTCCATAGCTCGGAACAAAACCCTCTCATATAAAACACAAACAATGCAGGCGAAAATCAACCCAACACAGCCAATTGAAGAGGGAAATCGAGATTTCAGAAGCCGGAGATCACCAAATGCACTAACCTCGAGATTGAAGAGATTGGAGTAGGAAAGCGATTGATTTTCGTCCCTCCCGTGCTCCATGGATGTGCAGAAGCTAAGACGAACAAAACCCTAAGAACCGAAACGCGAGCCCGGAGACGAGCATGTGGAGGAATTCTTCAGATTTTCTCGAGGACTGAATATAAATATAAACGGCCGGGGGAAAAATCACAGAAGAAAACCCTTATAAGCCAGTGTCTGCGAGTCGAGAATGGAGTGGAGAGGAGGAAAGGATGACGACGCGTAGGATAAGGTGAGAAGGTAGGGAAGCAGGCGGAGGAGAAGAACTCTTCTTGGCTGTGGTTTGAGTTGAGACGGACATTGTGGAAACTCTGAGAAAGCGTCATGATACGCTACCGTGCGCCGTGTGGGTGCCATCGCTGCTAACGTGCACTAAGGTACGACGGTCGGAATTTTCCGGCGGCGACGATCGAAGAGGTCCATCAAAAAAAAAAGAGCCCGTTAGTGTAGAGTCCGTAGCGGATGGGTTGGGCCATTTTGGACTCCGTCTTTCTGGGCCGATCGGCCCACTTTCGGTAGAGACAGATATGCATTTATTAATGGAAAATAACAGCATTTATTTAAAATAAAGATAAATATTATCCCTTTCCACCTGCCCCGTTCTCGTTTTTTCTCTCGCTATATTAACCACTTTCCCGGGAAAATCAGGGAAGCTACCAAAGAAATCCCCACCGCCGATCATGTCCGGCTACCCTTACCGCCCTCCGTCCGGCTACGGTTACGGCGGCCCCCCACCGCCTCAGCCCTACGGCTCCTCCGGCGGCCCTCCGCCGCCACAGCCCTACGGATCATCCGGCGGCCCTCCGCCGCCGCAGCCCTACGGCTCCGCTCCCTCGTACGGCGCTCCGCCGCCTAATCAGCAGCCCCACGGCGTGCCTTCCGCTCCATACGGCGCACCCTACGGTGGGGACAAGCCGCCGAAGGAGAAGCCACACGGTGCCTCTGCTTCAGTTGGCGGAGGAGGAGGATATCCTCCGTCGGCGCCGTACGGGAGCCCCTTCGCTTCCCTGGTGCCGTCGGCTTTTCCTCCGGGGACCGATCCCAGCGTCGTGGCTTGCTTCCAGATGGCGGATCAAGACGGGAGCGGTTTCATCGACGACAAGGAGCTCCAGGGCGCGCTGTCTAGCTACAACCAGAGCTTCAGCTTGAGGACGGTTCACTTGCTCATGTACCTCTTCACCAACAGCAACGTCAGGAAGATCGGTGAGCGATTTAATTTCCTCCTTTTCCTCCCTCGATCGATAACGATTCGTGATTATTTTAGCAACTGTTACCGGCGCTTTCTAATTTGCGCTTAGGGTGGAGTAGGTTCCGGTTAGGATTCTTGTAAGATCGATCACTTACGAAAAGTGGACCTGCGTAGAACTGCAGAAGGACTGGTTCTTACTTACCCTTGAACTTACCGTAGAAGTGAAAGTTGCTTGATTGTGTTCAATGATCATTAGACAAGTATAAGGAAGGAGAAAGAAGCCATTTTGTGTGTTCCTTGTGATTCTTCGCTTCTTCTGCTTTGACGTGAATTCTGTGAATTGACAGGTCCAAAGGAGTTCATACAAGTGTTCCACAGCCTTCGGAGCTGGAGGGTAAGTAAGATTGTTAGAGATATGTGGCGCCATTTCTTTGCTGTGATGGGTTTTTGTCTTGTATGGTATAGAGGTAGTAGAGAGTAATGATACATGACATTGCAGGGCATCTTCGAGAGGTTTGATAGGGACAGGAGCGGCAAGATTGATACGAACGAGCTGAGGGAGGCGCTGTTGAGTTTGGGATTTGCCGTCTCTCCTGTTGTTCTGGACTTGTTGGTGTCTAAGTTTGACAAGTCAGGTGGCAAGAACAAGGCCATTGAATATGACAACTTCATTGAGTAATTAGCTTAGACCTCTCTTGCCCTCTTCTCTCTATCTTATTTTCGTGTTAAAGATTCGAAATTTCTTTCAGAAGGGGCTAATCTTGATCTAATTTCGACCTTTTCTTTTTCCCGGCTGGATCGTTTCTTCTGGGAATGCAATATGCAGGTGCTGTCTTACTGTCAAGGTGAGTTCATCTTCATAAGCGTATTTTAGTTGTTAGACTATAAGCATTCATCATTGCCTTTGTGACTTATTGGATTCAAATCGGTTTGAAAATGGTAGTTGTTAACAGAAGAAAGATTTTGAGTGTTTACTTGGTTCTTCTTGATACTGATAAGCAGTGGTTTTGGAACAGGGACTGACGGAAAAGTTCAAGGAGAAGGACTCGGCGTACACTGGTTCGGCTACATTTTCGTACGAGACCTTCATGTTAACTGTTCTGCCCTTCCTTATAGCATAAGAAACAAGCAAAAGTTCTTCGAAGAATCGAAAGGCTTTGGTAACCCCGTTGAGAGACGGAAGCTTCTTGCATGCTACGGAAGTTAAAAGAGAGAAAATGTGAGGTACTGTATTTTCTTCAGTGTGTTGTATGTTTCATGCGCCTGTATGTATGTGATGAATGCTGTAAGTCCGTTTCCTTATGCCAGATAGCATCTTCAGACTTTCAGTAGAGTTGTACTTTGATAGCTTGTATGATAAAGAGGGTAATGTTAATTGTTTGCTGGTTATTCCATATACACGCCATTGCAACTTGCAAGGGTATCTTCGAGACAGGAGAGGGAAGATAGCAGGTTTCAGTAGAGTTGTATGGTGATGGCTAATGATAACGATGATGTTGCAATTGGGTTGTTTTTCGAGGACTTGATTGCAAATTTTTTTGCAATCCATGGGCAGCTGGGCTTCTCCCCAGCACGAGGCAACACTTACATTAGCCCGATACAGGCCTGTCTTAAGAGTTTAAGCCCATGGTCTCCCCTTCTCCAAGGCCCAACCCTTAATTTCATGTCGGTAATGGAAATGGGAACCCGCCTTATTGCCAACTCCTTCACCAACCCAATCCTTCCCAACCGCCCAAGATCGAACCTCAAACTCAACCGACCGGCTCAACCAGCTCCTCCCTCTTCCACCTTCCCTTTTACTCTCCCCGCCAATATTTTCCCCTTTCCCGTCTTCAAACTCCAGGTCCAGCTGCCAATTCAATCAGTGTCCGATCCAATGAAACAAAATCCCAGGTCGACAAATTGAACAGCCTTCTCGTACTTCAGATTCACCCTCACCGGCCGCTGGAGGAGGCTGACGGGATCTGCAACCACTTTTCATATTCGGGCGCATTCACTTTAATAAGATTTCGTGTCAACAAAACAACACTACTTACTTCGTTACTTCTTAAAAAAAAAACTTTGTTATTGTGCTAATAAAACTTAGAGTCGAAACCGTGTACGCAATCACATCGCCATTTTTATTACTTTGGATCAATGATTCTGTCATAATAACGAACCTTCATGTTTTCCGATCTTTTTTAACGTTTACTGAAACTCAAATAAAATTGTGTTTTGTTTGAAGACTTATGAATTGTAGCTAAGCTTAAAAGTTAGGTGGATGACGAATTTTACCTATAAGGACTAATCCATGGAAGATTTTGAACTCTCTTTGACTACTATTCTTATTGAGATTTTCGATATCACCAAGCAAGGGCTACACACACTACATATAGTCCTAAAACAACACTAGTCATGGACCCGACCGGTTAACCGGATTCATTCACCAATTGTATATATAGTAGTAGCAATTTGTATGTGAGATTCACGTTTTTTTGTTAGTATAAGAAAATCTAAATCTTTTAAATTATCGAACATTCAAATTTCTTGCTAGCATAAAATAATCAAAATTATAAAAAATACTTCAATCATTCAAAAGATTAAACATCATAATATTTTGCGACATCCTAACCTACTCATCATAAATACCATGTGTCTTCCCGAAAGTAATTTGTGTCAAAAGGATCAAAATTGGCTTGTGCTTGACTTTGTTAATTGTCATAGCAAACAAACTGCAATAGGATATTGTCTGCTAACCAATGTGAAATCAAGACTTTTATAATGAGAAGACAATTTAATATGAGATAGGAAGACCATATCACCAATATGAGTATCTATTAGAATCTCCATTTCAGTAAACCATGTGCCAAGTCTCTTGATTATCAATCTTGTACCATTGCAGAGACCTATACTTTTATTCATATTTCTTAATAAAATGAAGGGGAATCCAACTTTCAACCAAATAGTACGGGAAATTATTAATCTTCAATGTATTGAGAAACTCCACTGATTAATCTCCCCCTTCATCTCTTGGAACCCTTTTCATCTCACAGTTATTGATTTTCGATTTCTTTTCATGGGGTGGAGCCAATATAGCATGATGAACCATAGAGGTTCCTTCACTGTAATTCAAATGGAGATCTGCGTACACATGATTCACAATATCAACAATTTCATCTCCTTGATCATGTTGAATGCTCAAAGAAGTTCGAATAATTGAGATCGTTGACTCCCCAAAAATATTAGAACCCACTCCATCACCAATAGGCAAAGTCCATCTTTTGAATTCTACAATATGAATAGCTTCTTTTCTTTAGGGCCACAATTTTTGCAGCACAATCTCATATTTTGAGAGAGCTTCAAAACGTTCAGTGAAGGCCATAAGTATGACTTCTTTATAAAAGAATTTGAAATATCTACTCGAGTTCCCTTACCAATTACTGTTAATGTTTGCTGAAAATCCACACCGAACACAACAGACATTCCTCCAAAGGTCATGTTCTCGCTGTTTGGGATTTTCACATGCAAAATATCTTCCTATCCGTTCCCTCTTAGTTGTGAAGCAGACAAAAAACCCAGCACGAGCAGATGGAGAGGGAAATCCTTTCCGGCGATGAGCAGATGGAAAGGGGAATCTTTTATGATGATGAGCAGATCTTTTCCGACGGCAAGCAGATGAGATGGAAATTACCAATCATTTCCTCTCTCTTTTTATTTTCCGCTTCTTAGTGATGGAGGGGGGAAATCATCGGCGACCAGCAGATGGAGAGGAAAATCACTGATCTCTTTCTCTCTAGCAGAAGGAGGACATGGTTACCTTGCTCTATTGCTTGATAGTGATCTGGTTAGTGTTCTAATTCGACCACCAGGGTTTGTAGCTTTCCCTCTGAATGCACAATTGCTTGACAGTGATTTGTCAGTGGTCTAATTGGAAACTTTAATTTATGATATGGATTTTTTTTCTTGTTGATTGTCAAATGTGATTTGAGTGTCCGCCTTTGTTGACTTGTAAATTATGCCCTGCTTACAAACAGAGTAAAAGTATGACTAAGAAAGAGGTTCAAAAGATGAGGCAAAAGTGCACTTTCATGATATGCTTTATAGTTTATTCTCACTAGAAAGTTAAAGCCCGCGCTACGCGACGGGCAGAACAGGTTGGAGAGATATTAGTTTGTTTCAAAAGACACAAAATAAACCTTTCGATCGCTACCCAAGTGAACCACATGCACCTCACGTCAGGAGGCTTGTAACGTAACCTTTAATTGGTATCCATGTCCAATTTGAACACGTATGACACGCTCTAAAGATATCAATTACATCCGAATAACTCTAAAAGTGTAATCACTTCTCATCCTAACATTTGAATAGACACATGAGCATAGTGCACTCGAAATAAATTTTAGATACATTAAGAACCTACTTAGCACATTAAAATTCTCGACACAGCAACAATGCAATCATTAAAAAAATCCATGTGACAGCCCATATTAAAAGTACGTAGGCTCAATAACAGGTAGTTAGGATATCATCAAAACATAAACTTAGCATAAAAATCATTGCACACCATGCAGAATTGCCATTACTCGCACTATCTTCCATTCCATCACCTCCTCTTCCCAGTAGCGTCAGATAAGCTTTCCCCCCGATACAATCACTTGAGTTGAATCAGGAAATCATTTGGTTAAATATTAGTAACTCACAACTATCAGGAAATCATTAAGTGATTAATCATTTGGTAATCATTGAACACATACTCAGAAGGACCCATATGTTTGGTTAATTTTGCTTGCATTTTGGTTAATTTTGATTAATTTTGATTACCAAATCATTTGGTAATCATTGAACACTCTCCTCACCTTCCCATCACCCACTGTCCACGGACCCATATATCATTCTCTCTCTAACAGCTACACCCCCGGGTTGGATCCCATCCTTAAGCCCAAAACTTAAGGAGTTCCTTAAGCCTTGGCTGGCCAATAGGGAGAGGAGAGAGATGAAAGGCATGCAACTAACCGTAACTAAATAAAAGGGTAAATGAGGAAGTTTTTCTAATTATTTAATGCGCTTAATAATGCTATTTAATTTTGGAAAAATGCTAAATTGCCTACAAACACGCCACTCAGTTATCATGTACGTGCAACAACCATTTCTCTTTGTCCCCGAAAAAAAAACATAATTGTCTCCATTATTAACGTTCTTTCACGTGTGGTTAGTAATGGACTAATGGTTATGGAGTTGATTAGTCGTTAGTAATAGTAATTTCATCATTATTAATGAAAATTGTCTAGGTTATTCACTAGTACCTAAAGTCATTATTAACAGTTTCGTTGAAAATGTTGATTATGTTACAAACGTTTAGCATATTTTAACAAGTAGTTTCATCATTGTTAATGAGAATCGTCTAGGGTATTAACTAGTCCATGAAGTGATTATTAACATTTTGGTTGAAATTATTTATCATGTTACAAACGTTTAGTATATTTTACCAAGTATTTGCATCATTGTTAACTAGAACCTGAAGTCATTATTAATGCCATTGGTTAACATCTGTACACTTTTGAAAAAAGACGAGATATCGTTAACGATGACTTTTCAAATATCCTAAACTATTGTGTAAAACTCATATTGTTAATGACACCTCGCATAAATGTTGATAACATTACATTATAATGTTAACAGTTGTATAAAAAGTTAATAATTTAATTAAGGTCATTGATAACAGTTTACGTCTTTTACGTAGATAACTTCACATTACATTGTTAATGATACCTCTCATAAACGTTGATAACGGTAATAATGACCGTATATTGTTAATGATACATCGGATAAACGTTGATAACGTTAAATTGCATTGATAAATGTTGTAAAAAAATGTTAATAATTTAATTGATGATCATTGATAATGATATACGTTTTACGTAAAAATAAATATTCTACATGCATGAGCTTTGATAACGTTATGTTTCGTAGTTAACAATTTAATTTAAAATATTAATAATCTAAAAAAAGGTGATTGTTAGTGTTCTATGACATTCAATAAAAAAGATGAGATACCATTAATAATGATCCAATAAACAACCATAAATTGTACAGGAAAACATTGAAAATATTTTTATATATTGTTGATGATTCGCCGCATAAAGGTTGATAACGTTATATTGGATTGTCAACAACGTACCGACAAATGATGATAATTTAATTGTTGATAAGTGTGAACGTTATATAATTACCATTAAAAATGACGAGACATCATTAATCATAATATACCTTTAAAAAATCATTGACAACCACAAGATAAAACATTAATAACGAATGGGCATTGCAATGAAAATGCAAGCAAAATTATTAATAATGAACATATAACAATTTATTAATAGCAACCTTAAAAACATTAATTACAGCAATACAAAACACTTAAAATGCAACTATCTTCTCAAAATGTTGATAACGATGGAAATAAATATTTATAAGTAAGTTGTGCTTCATTTAAAATGCAAGAAAAATCTTTGATAATGATCGAATCTAATTATCGTCAATCACATTATATATTATTAATAATTTTTTCTCAAACATTGATACGCTTATATCCACTTGTTGACAATTATACAAATTACAATACTAATTATTAGGGAAACATTAATAAGTAATAACCATAATGTATGTCATTAATAACTCCTATAAAAATGTTAACAACGTTCTTGTAAACCATTCAAAAGGAAAGCTAAATTGTTAACGATGCTTGTTGCCTATAGTCAAATCCTTTTCAACGTACGTAAATATATTAACAATCGACTAGGAATGGTTAAGAATCGGTTATGAAATGTTAATAATCACCACAAAAAAGGCAATAACACAATTGAAAACCTTTAACAACCAGAGGAAGATAATTTACCATTACTTCACAAAACGTTAATAAATAGATCGATCAGATTAGGTTAACAACCACATCCACGATGCATACTCTATTATGCAAAAACACAAGAAAGGGAAGATGCCGAAGGAAGCTTCAATGACGACGTTAAGTTGCTCCTCCCGGCGAGATTTGCAACGCTAAAATGATGGATGTAAGACGTCGCCAAGCTGTGGATTTAACGAGATTCACGGCGCTGCAACCAACGGAAGGAAGGAGTTCGAAGCTGCGGGATGGACGAGATTCGCGACGCTGCAGGTGATGGAGAAGCAGGAAGGATCGCATGTGCATCACTCCACCGATGGAAGCTCTGAGATGCTAAATGAGGCGGAGCTGGTGCATGAGAAACCGACGGATCGAATGTATCCATGCACTAGAAAAACAGAGTTGTTGTCAACGTCGCCGGAGCCGCAGAACTTGTGGAAACAGAAAAACCTAGAGAACAGTATAAAGAAACCCTACAATAGTTTAACCAACGTAATACATGGGGTTAGTATAAATAAATACAACAATAATTAATTAAATTAAAATTGTAATGTCATCCCTACCCTTAACTACCTAAAACGGCTAACTACCCACTAACTACTTAAGATTGATCTAATGGCCCATATTAACTTAAGGAACTTCTTAAGTATAGAGGCTTAAGGATGTGAACTCATCCCCTACACCCTGCAGCAACTCCCCGCAACTAGGGTTGGGAGTTTGGTACCGGTATTTGGGATATACCGGATATCGTACCGAATTTGTCTATATTTGGTATTACCGAATACACGAATTATTTTGTGGGATTGGGATTGAATTTCAAATGTTATTCGGTATTAGGGATTACCGGATTGGGATCGATATATACCGAAATATAAGCTAGTGTATATTTTATCCTCTCAACTAGACTCTCTCATTCACTACTACGCGACCCTCAACCACCAAAAGTGTCATTTATTTATACATAAATCATTACATCACTATTTCACACTAGTATTAGTCGTCTCTCAACCTCAAATTCGTCAAATTAAAGATTACCAATTACAAGAATTTGAGATGTTAGCTCTAAGCAACTCAAGACTATTTGCTTAGTCTCTATGCCCTAAATTAAACAATAAAATCTAATTTATATATATTTAATTATTAATTGCAAAGGTAATTAATTATGTATTCGATAATACCGATTGGGATACCGAAATTATTTAGGGATTGGGATTGGGATTGATTTTAGTGTGTAATTCGGTATTCGGAATTTCGGTATTTGATATTGGAATACCGATACCGTACCGATTTCCACCCCTACCCGCAACCCTTGCATTCTGACTCTTTTCAGTTGCGGCCGATGCTTCCAAAACCTTATCGTTGTCGTTGCCTCCAACAAAACAATCGTCCCCGTCTCCCCGACCATCATCCAATCGACACCCTAACTCCCTATCCTCCTGACCTAATTCACTCCCCTCCCACCCAATATTGAATCGCCCTCAGAAGAAGAATTCCCTTCAATTCACTCCCCTCTCCTTCTCAATCAGCGACCACGAGATGTCCTGGTGCGACAACGAGAAACGAGGCGAGAGACGATGGCGGAGTGTTTAGATACATTGGGGGTTTGGCAATTCAATTTTGGACACTCCTATTGTCAGCCAAACGAAGAAGAAAGGCGGATTTGAGAAGACACTGAAGTTCTAAAGAATCCTTCCATTTCAGTTCATCAGGGAACAATGGAGGACGGCAACTCCGACTCCGACTTCGACGTCATCGAGATTTCCCCGGCCTCCCTCCCGCCTTCCCACTTGGCCAGGAAGAGAAAACGTCAACAGGTTTTAGAATAAGAAACAGGCTTTTTCTTCCAACATCCTTTGTTTTCTCACTGTCCCTTTTCTTTTTAGCTGGGTTTCGTTTATCTTCTTGCCGGGATTTCTCTTTTCCCCACCATTGATGATGCGTTCGATCAGGGCTTTTGCCCCTTTTTCCTGGGCTGCTGAATGAGTTTATTAAATTCTTGGAGATGCTAATTAACTTATCCATTGTGTGGAATCACTTGGGACACTTTACTCGTTAGATCAGCAGCTAATAAGTTCCTTCTGAGCAACGTACAACGTATGTAATGCTTACTTTGGAGGTCAAATTCGTTAATTGATAGATAGATAGATAGATTCTTTTGCTATATCTCGTCAAGTTGCACAACTAGACTACTTTCGGAGGCTGCTTTAGCTTTTAGAGTGATGGGTTTTTCCGTATGCATGTTGTGGCCTACAGAACTCAGTTGCAGATGCTTATGCAGTGTATTTACGTGGATCGATATTCCTTTAGAGAGAATTGAGTGTGATTTATTTCTTGTGGATGCTATTTCACAAGCATTTGAATGGATCCGTTCTCTCTAGTTAGTAGCACAAAATTGGTGTTGTTTGTTGTTGCAATGGTTTCTTTTTATATATGTATAGGCTGTGCTCCTTGAAATCATTGATGTCGATGACAAAGATGATGTTGTGATCCTGAATGAGGACGAAGTTCGCAGCAAGTTCGCCCTTGACAAAGGGAAAGCTATCAAGGATGATGATAACGCTGTCAATCTTGTTCAAAATGAGGTATACAGCATACATCATTGACTAATATATAGACACATTTTGTTATCATTGTCGACTCCATCTCCAACTCATCACCTCTATGTAAATGTCCATTTGACTTGATCCTCAGGCCCTACATACAAGCTTGTGGAATCTTGATGGAAAGGAAGACACATTTTTCTATCCCACTGATTTTGCTTCTCTACAATCATCATATCCGAGTCTCGCGGCCACTGGAGTTGAGGCAAGCCAACCGAATACGAAGAATTCGCGGGGTTCAAAATCAAGACAGAAACTACTTGGCAGTACCAAATCCCTGGCCAAATCTGCCAGCAAACAGAGTTTTCCAATGATGAGTACTAGTGTTGGACTTCGTCGACCGAATATGGACTGTAAGGAAATTTTAAGGAAATGGAAGCTCTTCAAGCATTTCGATCTTGTTGAAGACTATTCAGACCATTACTACAGTTGCCGCCGGTCTTCATCGGAACAGGTGACTGACTGCATGCATGCATAGTGTTGCTACTTGTAAGCTCCATCTTGAAGTTACCATACATGGTGTTTGTGTATATGATGTATCAATTAATTCCTCTTTAAGTTGTTCTGCCTGCCAGAGGAATGAGAAGAAGTGGGCAAAAGCAATTCAAGACGAGTGGAAAAGGCTCAAGAAAGATTTGCCAGGTGAAGAAACATTACCGTGCATGTTATTCAATTCCTTGAGCATCTAATCTAACTACACAACTGATGATATGATTAGTTTCTTTCTATTCTGTGACATGATCATCTATCATTCCAATTATTTATTTTGTTCAAACAAACAGATACGACGATATATGTGAGGGCGTACGAGTCGAGGATGGACCTGCTGAGGGCCGTGATCGTTGGGGTAGACGGAACTCCTTACCACGACGGTCTCTTCTTCTTCGACCTGTTCTTCCCCGATCTCTATCCAGATGTTCCGCCGGTACGTACGTGGTCATGTTGATCTAATTTAAATTTCACTACATTTCTGAGTCGCATCACCGAGACAGGGTTTCTCTTGTCCCTGCACAATATGAGACAGATTTATTCATATTTCGCCTGTTTCGCATTTTCCCTCCCCTTCTTTGGTCATCAGGAAGTCCACCTCGATGATGATGATTCTCTCTTGTTAAACCCAATTTTCAACCACGGATATGTGTGCCTCAGCCTTCTCTATCGACGAATCGGTGGTATCGACGAGTTCGAGTATTGGCAGCCTGGGGTTTCAAGTGTGATGCAGATTCTGCTTTCGTTGCAGGCATTGGTATTGTGTGAAAAACCCTTCTACACTGATAGTTTTGATGATATGACGGACTATGAGGGTATAACGGACGATGATGATATAACGGACGATGAGTATACAATGGAGGATATGATCACCACCATATTCCGCCCAAAAAAAGAAGGGAAAAAAGAAAAAAAAGAGTGCATCTACTCCCTGCATTACATCATTGTATTCCTCGAATCACTCCAGCTAATGGTTCGTACAATGAGGAAGCCACCAAAAGTAAGCCTTCTTTCTCCGATGGATCAACCTCATGTCGTAAGGGAAGAAAAAAAAGTCGTTATTTTGCTAATTTGATCTCATTTGTGTCGGTACGTCCACGGCATAATAATGTTTGTAGAATTTCAAGGAGTTTGTGAGGGGACATTTCCACAGTCGGGCCAAGGGGATCGTGGCGGCGTGCAAAGCGTACATGTCCGGCGTTCAAGTCGGCCGGTGGTGTGTGGTGAAGAACGGCGAGGGCGCCGGCGGAGGAGTCGGATCCGGTAAGAGTTGCCGGCCGGAGTTTAGGGATTCCTTAGCTAAAGGAATGGACGAGCTGATGAAAGCGCTTGCCAAGATTGGAGTAAAAAACTTCGACTAATTTTTAAGATTTGCATGTGTGAAAATCAGTTTAACGATTATGTTACTCTAGTTCACTATTCAGTAAGGTTGTCAACCCGGTTTAATCTATTGCCCGATCGAGTGGATTGAGGATTAATGGTTCTTTCGTTTTTGTACGGATGGATATATGAAAAGAATCATTATATTGTTCATATTTGTATAAATTATATCCATTCTCATCTAACATATGGGTAATAACCTTGCGCCAATATAACAGTCGGTACATGGACCAAACATATAGTGAAATCCAAACACACTCATATGTAACCTCAATATTCAAATGTTCAATTTAGAATTCCAAAGGTAGAGTTAGGCGAACGGTAATGCTGGAAAAGAGGCGCATTTTGGAATCTTAAGGAAAAAATTGACGCAGTGTGGCCTCCAATCCGATAACTTCGCGGCAAGTTGACCCCACGGATAAGGCTGGAAGTTTGGTACCAATATTTGGGATAATTGAATACCGTACCGAACTTATCACTATTTGGTATTACCGAATACCGATTTATTTTTTAGGGATCATGATTAAGGTTTATTTTGGAGTGTTATTCGGTATTACGGGATTGTGATCGATATATACCGGAATATAGCAAAATACAGAGAAACAGCAAAATTTGAAAATTAATAAAATGTATCACACAACTTTTGATCATTCCCCACTTTTTCATAACTCACAAGTCCCCATCCAACTCAATTTTGCTTTCGAGTTTAAGTAACTCTCGTCTCTCATCTAATCTCTTGTTATTTTCATAACATCAAAAGAAAATGCTAGTATTAGTTGTCTCTCAGCCTCCAATTCGTCGAATTAAAGATTACCAATAACAAGAACTTGAGTTGTCACCTCTCCTCCCTTCTCTCTATCCATGTCGTAGCTCTATGCAAACTCAAGACTCTTTGATTTTAGGGGGTATTCTGTATTCGGAATTTTGGTATTGAGATATCGATACCGTACTGATTTCCACCCCTACCCACGAATGTGTGTGACCTGTTTTTCTCACCGGGTCAAGATCAAAACAACTCATCTCTCGCGTTGACAACCTTGCTATTCATACAACTAGAAAGCGTAACAAGTATGGTGACATGATGTCTGACTACAACATCTGCTTAGCATATCCAATAATTCGTACATTGGGTTTCACTATTGGGTTTCATTTCAACTAATTGGACTCAACTACTCATTCTATAATCTATGTTTTTCATTTGCGAATAAGTTTCTTTTCTTTGATCGTAAAATATTAAAATTTGGTTTATATTTTCTTCAAATAACATGTGAGAATAGTTCGACCTATCCAGACTTGTAATTTGTGTAAGGTATGTATCATCGATCTGACCGGAGCCAGCGCGTTCAGTAATGGCAATTTTTTGACCTGACCCATGCAATCCGATCGGCCCGACCCAACCTGTTTGAGGTAGATTTTACCCGACTTGCAGCAACGTGGGAAGAGGCATGTATATTGCTTCCAAAACTTGCCACGCCTCGTTCCTTTCTCAACCCATTCTATCACAATTCTATCTTTCAACTATTTAGACTCATATATTCCTTCTACTATATTTATCATTCATTTATAAAACATTTTCTCTATGTGTTCTCGTAAAATAATTAAAATATCCGTTTCGTTTTTCAAAACAGAATGAAATCACCCGTTTCGTACTCACATGACCGCTCCATTGCCAAATGACTAATTGAGAGTTACCGAACCGGGATTAGATAGCGTCACAACCCCTAAAGGGGTTGTGAGTTTCGCTTCCCACTTCCCGACCGTAGACCCCCCTTCCTCATCCGACGGTTCATAACACACCAAGGGCTTTTGTGTAAGTTACTTAACTGACAAAATAAAATAAAAAAAATTAAATGCATGGAGAATATTTTTATGCGTGATTTGTGGGATTGGATTACTACTAACCATAACCAACAACGACAGTTCCCTACCATTTCAGGATTCTTCATCATCAAAAGCAACGTCCGGAGCTTAACGGACTGGTAACTTCAGATTGTCGGAAAGAACTTCTTGCTGCCGCCGACATAATGAACGGCGAAATTGGCTTCGACCTCAACGCCCATACACAAGGAACGGCGATGTCGGCGTTGAAGAGGCGGAGAATGATGATAATGTTTTCATGGTGGATGAAAACCTCAGTTTCGACATAGAGGACCTGTTCCACGATGAGTTACTGGACAACGTCAACGTGGTGAACGACGAGGATTGCGAGCCGCACCTAGTCTTGGATGACGTCAACGTGGCAAACGATGATGATTGCTTGCCGCAACCGATCGAGCATGTTGAAGAAGAGAACATTGGCGTCCCCATGGAGAATGCTACCGAAGCCAATAATCTCGGTAGGGTTAACAAGTGTGATTACAAATTCGGTAGTGGTAGTAATTTTTAAATGGTAAGACTGATGCGAGGACAATACTGTACTGGTAGACATGTAGTGGCATACGATTAGTGGTAGTCATCCAGTGGTACTAATTTACTGGTATCCAATTTCCAGTGGTACATTAACATACCACCTAGTGGTAGTGGTCCAGTGGTACTAATCTAAAGTTTTCTTTTTAATTACAGGTGCGTTATCGACTGTTGTCCCGGCGGTCATGTCAACATGGGAACACTTGCGTTTCAAGAATCAAGATGAATTTATTTACAAGTGTTATGCACATGTACCACTACATGTGACTTTGTAATGGTGATAATTGGTTGCTAGTGGTATATGATCCCTACATTTAATAGTTAATGGTATATGTGCCACTCTTCTTTACCTATATTTGATTAATGGTACATGTTAGCAGTGGGTGCTGGAGACGACAAGTGGCAGTGGTACCAACTTGTTGTTTCTGATTGGTACTAGACTACCAGTAATACCTACTGGTACAAGTACCAGTACTGGTACAAGTACCAGTACTGGTACAATTACTTATATTTGTACCACTACAGGTCAGTATATAATTAGATAAATAAGGGCACTACTGTTGTAACACAAAATCATATCAACTGGTTAACCAACATTATTGGTTTTCACCAACACATATGGAAAAAGGGATCTAAAAAATTGTACACAAAAGTGAAGCAGATGCAGGACAATAAAGAGTTGAACAACAAGAGGGGAAAAAGTTCAACCTAAATATTGTTGGTTGTTTGTCTAGTTAGATGTTTCATTAAAAACTTGTGGTATGATACCTTTAAATTTGTCTCTTGTTGACTATATTACGTTATTGAGTTTTTGGAGTTGCATATTTTTGTTGCTAAACACTAGTTAACCATTTTAAAGTGTTCTCATGCAAATGTGCTCGTACGAGTACCACTGATAGTCCATACATGTACGTGTGCCATTGCTAGTTACTTGGTACATATACCAGTATTAATTATCAGTTCATGTACCAGTTCTACCTATTGTTACATGTACCAGTACTATTAGTTGTACATGTACCACTAGTATTCAGTTGTACATGTACCACTAGTATTCAGTGGTACATGTCTCGCTACTAGTTATTCGTTAAGGGACTACTGGTACTTATCAATACTAGTTACTGGTACATGTACCAAAAATAGTCTACGTGTAATTAGAGAATGAGCTAGTGCTTGATGTAACAGGAAAATTGACAATGGAACACAAAATCATAATAATTGCTAAACCAACATTAGTGGTTTTCTCCAACAGGATTGGTTCAAATTTATAAAACACCATAACTAAAAGCCAACTAATGTTCAAGCTTTGTTCGTACTCGAAAACGTACATAAACCAATAGCATACTCCTCAACAACTAGAAAAGAACTACTGCTGGGTTAGTTGAGTACATCCACGGAGTAGTGGTTCCTTCATCTCAATAGCTTTCTCCGTTACTTCCTCAATCTAAATATTACTTGAGTCACCGATTATACTTTTAACCAGCTTTGCAGACCTGTTCATTAGATAACTTCTTATGCTCCATTGTTTCATCCATTCACCAACAAGTTTCCCTTCCTGGTACCAAAATAAAAACTACATTATTAGACATATTGAATACAACTTACAATACTACCACTACCAAACATTCAACAGTGATAGTGTCGAAAATGCACGTGATACATGTACTGGTACATGTACCACTGAACCTGGTACCAGTATCATTGCTTTTGTAGTGGTACCGCGAAGCCAATTGAAAGTACCACTGTTGGATTCCAACGTTGGATTCAGAAAAAATAAACTTGCGGGATAAAGAACCCTAACCTGCGAAGTTTTTCACTTCCACAGAAAAGGTCGACGGCGAAAGGAACTCCGGTAATGCACTGAAAGAACAAAAAAAAAACTAAATTATTAGGCCTTGGATTAAAGCAGGGCTCGCTGCTAGGAAACGATGATCGACAAGGGAAGGACGTTGGGAAACCAGGTTTCGGGCAAAGTACGGGAGAGACGACAAAGCATGATTCTGAAAGAAAATTCAATTATTTGACTAGAAGAAGGGAGTGGAGGAAATATAGCGGATGCACCTCTACTCTGAACGACGAGGTCTTCGAACCAAGTGGAGAAACGAGCGAGATGTTGGACGGAAAGAAAGGGCGACGACGACGTTGATCGGCGACGGTGCACGGGTTTTGTTTGGGGGGTTTGGGAGCAGATGGAGGGGAAAAGGTTTGGGGAAGGCGAACGGTTTATTGCGGGGAAGGTGGCTATTTGGTCGCCGATAATCTTTCCCCTCTAAACCGCATCTCGCGTCCATAATAGGTGGAGTGGGTGAAATTATCCAGTGTGGCAGCTCTTTTTTTTGCCCCTGGTGAGTATGGACCGTAAGATCACAAGGAAGGAGGAAGGACGGCTATAAAAGGGGAAGCGAAACTCACAACCCCTTTAGGGGTTGTGACGCTATCTATTCCCATGGAAATGGATAGTGTTTCTCTGAATGTTGGTCGTTGCTTTCTCTTTTGGTTGGATGTTTTTCGTGCTTTTCGGTCGAAGGTGAACAAACGATAAGCGAGAATACGAGGTCGAGTCATTTTAACGTCAGAACCTACAGTAGAGCTTCATCGGGACTTGCTATTTCTTGTATCGACTGGGGCGATGAGGAGATCCATTACATAGTTCGGATTCATTATTTGTCGTTTGGACTCAAATTGCATGCTACATAAAGTCGGTGAGCTAGCATGTGAGATTTGTTCAACGTACAATGTTTGTAATTGATTATGAGAGGCACGATTTGTTGGTGTGGGATTTCGATTTTCAGCGGAGAAACATCAAACCAATTACCGGAGGAGAACTCCAAATCCCATTTGCTGCTACATTCTTCACTCTGTGAAAACCCCAACATCGCTTAAAGTTAAGTAAAACAAAGATTGATTAATTAACAACATATATGTATTTATAATAATTACCAAAAGGACGTCGGGGGCGGTCGATGGTCTGGATGCTGATGTTGAGGTCATCGACGGCCGCGAAAGAAGACGAAAAGACGGAGAACTTTGAGAAGAGTAGTAGTATAAGTAGAAAGGGACAAGGTATGAGATTAATGGAGTAACGATGATGGGTTCTTAGTAATGAAGCTGCCATCTCGATCTGGCTGGTTTTGGGGAAGAGGAGATCTGATCTGGGAGGAGTTTGCAACTCTATACCATGGCTAAAGCCGAAGAAGAAGAACAGAGAGAGAAAGGGGCACATTTTATTTTTTATTTTTTTAAATTGACATGTCATTAGCTTAACGGTCTAGTCAGCAGTTCTGTTTGCTACATCAGCAAAATTTTGACGGAGTTAACGGAGTTTGACGGAGACTAACGGCCGGTGACTAACGGTGAAACGATTCGTAAAGTTAGTGACGAATAAGAAAGAAAAATAATTCGGTTGGCAAACGTGAAATATTTATGTAATTTGAGTGACCAAATATGGTAATTTAGCCCATTATATCTATTTATGTAAAGAAGAAATCAAAATAATTTGTTTAAAAACATTATTTTAGCCCTACTGGAAAAAAAAAAGGAAACGGAAAATTCGCACCAAAGACGGACAAAAACTAAAGAAGGAAGGAACCGTAGGAACGAACAAAGCAAAACGTTTTTCTTTGTCCTGCCGAGCTGAAAAAGGACAGGAGCGTGAGAAGCGGGGGAAACCCGAAAACTGAGCAAACGAACAGTGGGCGGAGACGTAGCTCAGAAACTAGGTTCCCTCAAGTCAAACAACTCTTCCTCCCTCGAGTCTTCAAAATCACTGACTCCCCTCGTCGTCTCCTTCATTTCCTTTCTCCGCCCTCTCCATCCCTCTGTCGCTTTGCCTCCTCTTCTCAATCCCGAAGCGATGGTGGCTCCGATGAAGATCATATTCGGCCTCATCACTTTCGTCACCGTCGGGATGATAATCGGTAATCATCTGCATCCTCCATTGCCGCACCACTGGTTACTTTTGCCCCTTGCTTCCGTTTCGTATTGTGTATCGACTTCCTTAGTTTTTTGTTTTTTGTTTTTTTTTTTGGTAGTTTCGCACGCAATTTGAATATATTGCAGCGACATTTCACGATTCAATGTGTTTTCCAGTAGATCGGATGTTAACACGGCAAGTAGTTGTAGTTGCTGTATTTATTAGGCTTTTTCTCGCTGCATTTTGGTCTGTTTCCGTTGCTTGCATGTCTACTGCCATTGCTTGCTTGAGATGCCTTCTGATTAGGGGATCTAAATTCCTTTCGCTTCTGTTTGTTTGGTTACCTATTGGCATTTAGCCCTAGATTCAAGTTCAGCGTTCAATCTGTTAAATGTAATGTGAGATGAATTTCAGAACTGTAGTTTTGAGGATTGGGAGAAAGAACAAGAGTGGGAAGAAACGATGTCTGCGTCTTCAGACCGTAGAATTCCATTTGACTTGCGTTTGAATGTTGAAGTTGGTTGAATCTTTACAAAGAAGAAAGAATGAACCATTTTGATTCACGCTTTGTGATAAGCGTCTGACTCGCCTTTTTTCGTGGAATGTTTGAATGAGTCATGCTTTTCGTTCTGTGTGATGATTTTGGTTTTTGGTGGCATGTGTAGTGTGGCGGCAGTGATTGACTAATTTGATGCTTAACCACTGAAACTTCAATTCTAATTTGCATTGCAGGTGCTTTATGCCAGTTATCATTTATATGGAAGCTGGAAGACACAAATGGTATCCTTCCTTCTTTTTCTGGTTGTTGTGAATTTTGTTAAGCAGCCTTGACAATGTGGAGTAGCCTTGAGCGACAGATTAACCTGTGAATTTGAATTCTTACCTCAATCATACAGGGTACCTAGGTCTGTTGTCATCAGTATCATCATAGATGATTGGACTTAAATGAATTCATTGTGGATTTGATTATCTCGGTCATGGATGATACTTCAGACTCAGCATTTATATGTTTTGTGAATGTGCCCTGTTAGTGAAGTAGTATGTGATTAGAATCTTTAGTTTGAGTGTTAAATGGGCATGGAGTTGAGGTCTTACTAGGGCCGTACGGATCTTGATTCTATGTTTGGTTCTTTTAGTTGGATTTTTTTTCCCTGATTATGAGTTTATGATAACAAATACCCAATTCATCCATTAACATTTTCCAATATGTATGACTAGTTGCTTAAATTCTATCATGACCAGTTGCTAAGTCCCTTTTCATACTTATGGTTTATTTGACCACTGGACCTTGCATTGAGAATTTGGAGACGATTGTCCTGTCCTTTATTTCAGAACTGTGGTTCTTGAATCACATGGCTCTTATTTAGTTGTAAATGTCCTATTTGGATCATCTTTCAGGAATTCCTCATTGGTATAATTTTAAAGAAGCAGAGACCCTAAGGCTTGGACATGTAAGTAGCTCTTTCCAGTGCTAATGATTTCTTGAAATAGACAGTTTCATACCCATTTTCTTTTTATTCTATAGGTTAAAAAGAGCGGCGGAACATAAATAAAATAAAAGAGCGGGAACAAATTAATTCAATGCATTTTAGTATACCTGAAAAATAATTGCTTCTGTTACCAAACACATGATAACTCTGCTTACGAAGAACTCTGCAATCATATATATTTTTATTTCAACAGTCATTCTTTCTTCAAACTTTCATGTGGAATGCTCAATGACAGTGTATGTTAGGTCACACTGTTCCAATGTTTGGTTTCACCGTGGGTGAGTTGCATTTGCATGCAATACCAGCAATTCCTTTTTCAATTTAGCTTAACACAACTGAGTTGGTTGTTTTTGTCAATATAATGGGTGTGTAAAGGGTCTTTTTGTTCTTTCTTTTCCTTTCAGATTTGCATTTTATCAGTGTCTAGAGGACAATATTTCTCTTGCTGGCATATGCATTCAGTTATCATTATCTGTTTCCAATATCACTGTGGTATTTCGTTCTATTTATTTTTTGTATGTGCATGTTGGGGTAAGCTATTATGAGCTTTGAACTCTTGCTCTTAACTTATATGCGGCTAATTGAGGCTATCTCGAACCAACAAATCCGTCTTAAGATCTTCCTTTTTCCGTCTATGATAGGTCCAACCTGAAATCATTAGCTGGTCACCAAGAATTATCGTATTGCATAATTTTTTGAGCATGGAGGTACGTTCCTATCTTAAGAGTGAACCTATCATTTGATTGATGCTGGCCGAGGGAAAAAAAAAACTTTCCCTTGCACTGTAATCATTTTCCATTACTACTTCTTACACGGTAAACCTCAAATGAATCTTGGGTGATTCTTCCTGGCAATCAGCTTAAGGAATGTTATGATGGATACGTGTCCTTGAGAGATGATATTGACCGGCAATTTTATAACTTGCAGGAATGTGACTATCTTCGGGCCTTAGCCAAACCCCGCCTTCAGGTATCAACTGTGGTAGATGCAAGAACTGGAAAGGTATATATTACACTATTATTTGATTTCCATTGGATGGATCTTTTTCCCCCTTTGTTACTGTTATTTGAGTTGAGCTTGATAATTCACTTTCATGGATTGAATGAAGAGTGTTGTTTGAGACTGAGCTCTAGTACAGTAGTACTCCTTGCTTTGTTTAATGCATTGTTCACGTCACTTCTGATAGTTTTTGTTCTCTGTCTTCTATAGTTCGATTTAGTGAAACTGGCCACTTTTGGTTGCTGGTCTGTACTTGGTACTCTTATCTCATTTGTCTCCATAGAAGAGATGCTCCATTATGAAGTTGTTTCTCTATAAATACCTGTATCAATAGTAGAACGATGCATACATATGCTATTTAAAGAGTATAAATTACTGGATTTAGAAAAATAAGTAATGGATCTTGTCCTTCTCCACTTATGCTAATGGTAATAATTTTGAATAGAGTTTAGTGGATAATTTACACAAGTTATTGCAGTTCTTTGCTGTTTACTTTCTTTATTCTTATGCATGTTTACTAGTGAGTAATTTCTGAAATGAACCGTGGCTGCTGCCAGAATATTTATCCACTGATTGCTTTTGCATGAATAAGTATCCTTCTAATTTGTAGCTTTGTTCAGGGGCCACTTTGATTTCTTCTGAATGGTAATTAAACAGGGAATATGTCTTTGAGCAGGGTGTAAAGAGTAGTGTGAGGACAAGCTCTGGAATGTTTCTCAGTTCCTCAGACAGAAAGTACGGTTTGGTGCAGGTTAGTCAGTTCTCGACTTTCCACTTCTAATATTTCTTGATGGCTAGAGACTGGAGCTTTTCTGTTATTCTTGAAGCTTTTAAGAAGATCCAAATTCGTTGGACTGCCTTAAAGATGCAATTATAGAGTTTTTCTGTGTAACACACTTGAAATCTGCATGCGAACTACACCGGCGAAGTCATACTTGTACAGGAAAAAATCAGAGCACTGTCCCAATCCCTCTAGAAGTTTTACTTACCTTGACCACAGCATTGATTATTGATGACCTGTGCATATAAATGGTGCACCTGAAGTAGGCTGTAAAATGAATGTTTCATGTAAGACCAGATGGTGGTAAGATTCTGTAAAAAAAGAAAGATGACGTTCAGATAGGATAAGGGCAAGAGTATTATTTTTTTTACGGTGACCTGTGCATATAAATGGTGCACCTGAAGTAGGCTGTAAAATGAATGTTTCATGTAAGACCAGATGGTGGTAAGATTCTGTAAAAAAAGAAAGATGACGTTCAGATAGGATAAGGGCAAGAGTATTATTTTTTTTAGATAAGGGTGATATAGGTTATCTTTTTGTTATTAGGTACTACTGAAGGGACTCGAACCTGGGTCATGGCTAGTGGTATTACCACTAGACCAATCCCTTGTTCGTAAGGGCAAGAGTATTATTTGATGCTGATAAGACCATCAGACCATGATTCTTCCTTTCTTAACTTTCACAATCATCTGTCTTCACCTACTTTGTAATTTTTTATCTACTTCCCTTACATTAATTCCGTCTCTCTTTGTCAAAACTGCTCTCTTTCTTTTTCTACTCGTGGAGAACCTGATTTCCCATCTTCTTAAACCATAATGGAATGTAGTCTTGATGCCATTTTAACTTGTTCCATTTTTTTATCAGGCTATTGAGAAAAGAATTGCCGTCTTCTCTCAAGTTCCTTCTGAGAATGGTGAGCTTATCCAAGTATTGAGGTGGGTATCTGACTTGTTTACATTTGAGGAATTATTGACATAAGGGAAGACTATCGTCATAGTCATGCCTAGGCTGACATCTGCAGCAGCGCAGGTACGAGAAGGGGCAGTATTACAAGGCTCATCATGACTACTTTTCTGATGCTGTAAGAACTCCAGTCCTCAGGTTTCAGATAGTGATATAACAGTCCATTGAATTCTAGTCATCTATCAGTTTCACATTTTCCTCACATGCCATCTTCACTCATTTTTATCTTTTTTTTTAATCAACAGTTTAACCTTAAACGTGGCGGCCAGCGAGTAGCAACAATGTTGATGTACTTGAGTGACAATGTCGACGGCGGAGAAACATATTTCCCTATGGTACTCTTCCTTAAAGATCATTTTGACGCGACAAAACTATGTCTGGATGTCGTCTCTCCTTGTTTCTTCCTCTGAAAGTTGAGATTGCATTGCAGGCTGGATCAGGCGAGTGCACTTGCGGTGGGAAGCGGATGCAAGGTCTGTCCGTAAAGCCAATCAAAGGAGACGCAGTGCTCTTTTGGAGCATGGTACACTTTCTAGACACTGCTTCTTTACGACTTTGCGTCAGTGATGATTCATGGAGAACCTGATGTTGATCTTTCTTTGATACTGTCAGGGGTTGGATGGACAGTCGGATCCAAAGAGCACACATGGAGGATGCGAGGTTCTCTCTGGGGAGAAGTGGTCAGCCACGAAATGGATGCGGCAAAAACAATTCTCCTAACTGCTCTTCTTCTGCAACTCACCCCTCATTTAACAGGTCAATACTGGGAAGGTACATCACATTTCTCTTAGAGGTTGATTGGTCAGCCATTATACAGCATATGGACGCAGAAATTAGCGAAAAGGAGAGAATAGAAGAGAGAAGTAGAGAGCATAATTTACGTTTGGAGAATGTGTAACCTTGATGTTGTGCTTTAGCTGCATTGCTAATTAAATCTTCATTACGTCTAAATTGATCCTCAAGTTTCATTTTGCTACGTGACGAGCTCTTGTGTCGTAGGTTAGCCGAAAAAATGAATGGAGCTCGATGGAATGACCATTTAGTTAGTGCAACGACAGGTTATTGTCTTGCTTAACATCAAGTGCATGTGAAATTTTTGTTAGTGATTCCAAATGCGAGGGATCAATTTACTTGCTTAACATCAAGTGCATGTGACATTTTTGCTAGTGATTCCAAATGCGAGCGATCATTTATGAGCGCCGCGGTACCAATTAGATCGGTACACTGACACATGGCTTGTAAATATGGATTGTTCCTGTTGAGGGCTATCCTAATGTGATTTCAGTCATTGGATCTATTCCGGTGAACCTAAAACAACGTCGATTCAATGGCTAAGATCTCTTGGAAGAAACCATATAAGTTTTCACATTGTTGGATATGTCGATAGGCTTTGTTAGTATCATAATTCATAATCAAATTGCTTGGGAAGGTTGAGATCCATTGAATTGACAACTAGGGATATGTGCTTATAGTTCGGCTATGTTCCTAACCTTCAATAGAGTTAAAAAGTCATGTGATCAACGATTGTGGATCTCTATTAGCCAATCGGTGTAAGAAATCCAAATACGTATTAAGGATGGGTGTGATATTTATGTACAATTTTATCGGATGTCCCGAAGGGACATATTCAATTATTCATGTACAATTCAGCTGAATACAAGAATGGTTAGTCACTAGTTTAGGTTTACAAAGCAATATTTACAGGAAAATAGTTAGGTCAAACCCAAACATAGAACATTCAGCATTCAAAGAAACGAAAACCAAAAAGGAAAAGTAAAATAAAAATTAAAACCGCGCGAAGAAGCACGTGGCTACCAACCTGTTTTCTCTCCAGTTCCCATAGAATAAGCAAATCAGAAAGTACCGATTACGATATCAGAAAAGCATTGGAGAGCAGCGCGCAGACCAGTTCTGTCTTTCGTTCATTCTCCGCTCAGAAACTCTCCGGAAATAATCAAACATGGCGGCAGCGTCGGCGACCTCAACCGCTACTCAGTCGCAGCTCTCTTGCTTCTCCTCAATCAACCGAAGCCTCCACCAGCTTCATCTCCACCGCCGCCGCTCCATCTCCTTCCCGTCCTCTCCCCGTCTCCCCAAGGTCCAATTATTCTTCTCTTCTATTCTTCTTCTCAGATTGCGCTAGTTTCTGGCGTTGATTCTTCCTTTCCTCTTTCCTTGTGTTTTGTTATCCGACAGTTTTCGGTTGTTATGAGCGCTGGAGGCCGCGCCACGGGGACTCCGGATTCGGATCCTTATAAGGGTTATGAATCGGCGTCCAAATCCATGCCCTACGGAGAAGAGACCAACGTAGAGGAGAATAGTAGGAGCGCTGATCTGGGCGTGGAGAAGAAGAGTGTCTATGGTTCCGCCATGATCCATGATTTCTGCTTTGGCATTCCCTTTGGTGAGTTTGAATTTCTCATTGTCGAATGCCACTGGTTCATAATTCCTGTCAGTAGTTATTGTTCCGGGAGGGAAATGAAACCTAATTGAGTCGATATTATGGTCTCAAATCTTCTCCTTCATAAGTGTTCATGGAGGCCCAGATTTCTATAGTGGACAGTAATTAGTAATCTTTACGAAAAGGTACTAGGTGATTGCAGTAATCTCTTGTAACTGTTGAATCTGGGAGATGCTCAGATGCAGCATCGAACGTAGTAATGTTTTGAGTCGAATTGGTTCATGTTGTTGCATTACGCGTTAAACCGATGCATATTTCATTTCACTGTTCAGTTTCTGATTGATTCTGATGTTAAATTTCCGTTCAGGGGCTCTTGTCCTGAGTGGTGGGATCATTGGTTTGTTGTTCTCAAGAACTTATACAACGTTTAGTGGGGTGCTAATCGGAGGTGGTTTACTCGCATTTAGCACTTATAGCTTAAAGATCTGGAGACAAGGGAAGTCAAGCTTGCCATTCGTTTTCGGACAAGCTGGTAAGAAATTCTTGTTTCGAGACTGCAGATTGATATCTTAGAACCTTCTACCCTGATTTAAGATTTGACTGTCCTGCTACTGTGACGACTTGGTCTCTCACGAAAGAATATATGGAATTGTTGGAAGCTTCTAATTTCGCCAAAGCAGAAGTTTCTTTACGAGTTCCGCAGTTCTTCAGTTCCTTCAAATACCTTGGTGGTTCATTAATAAAAAAAGAGAATGTTTTCTTCAGTATTCAAACAAACCCATTATTCGCTTTTTTCCTCCCAAAGATGTTCTGCTCAGCTTTTTTGGGATTGGCATCATTGGGTATATACAATAAAAAGATGATCATACAGATTAGGAAGTATAATTTATTTCTGGTGTTAGTAAGTAATTTGTTTATGCAGTCAATAATGCTTCATGGGAAATTCCATGGACATGAATTATGAATCTGTTAATCTTTATCACTCTGTACAATAGTTAAGAGTTTCTACAAGAAGCCAATGCTGCAGATGCTAAAAGTGTTTTCCTGTTATATCTAATTGGTGTTTATCTGTATTCTTGCAGTGCTTTCGGCAGCTCTTTTATGGAAGAACGTTGAGGTTTATTCATTGGTTAGTAATCAGATTAAGCATAAGGTTCTTGTCTGACCGAGTTTAATTTGCCCATGTGCTAACTTTGTTATGCCATATCGACGCAGACCAAGAGCCTCTTTCCAGCAGGATTTTATGCTGCCATTAGGTACTTCTTTTGAAATTGCAAGATTACTCACAACAAATATGCAAAATGTACCGATTCTGGTTGTGGCATATCTAATCTTGTCCCTTTCTGTTTCTTTGATAGTGCTGCAATGCTGTGCTTCTACATCCATGTCTTCATCTCCGGAGGCAACCCACCACCAAAGAAATTGCAATCGTGACTTGTCTTGCAAGAGGACATGACTTTCTAGGTCAGGTCAGCCATGGTTATATTTATAGGTGAAAAGAGTTGGTTCATTTTAAGCCTCTGCACTCTGCCAGGATCAGCCACGACAGTTTTGTGTGCGTACAGGATCTCTGCTGTAGTAAATCACGATTAATTAGGAGATCGAGTGGGGAGTTACATTATCTATGCGAACTGTTTACTCGTTAACCAGCTACTGAATTTTGAGAAAGAACTGAAATTTTTTTGGTCGACTTGTGTTGTGGGAGTATAAAGGGCGGTAGAAGATGGCCTGGAGGATTGGTTGAGGTTCTGTAACTCAAAAGCAAAGGTTAGACAAGAAATATGCAGAAAGCCTGGCTGAGTTCTGCAAGGTAAACAGAGTCGGAAGAGTGAAAGAACTTGCGATCTAAGATTTTATGTTCATCAACAATGTTGGATGTCAAGGTTTGGAGCAGAGTTCTTTTGAGTTTAGTAGACAGAATTTGAATGTTATAATTCATGAATCTTCATATCTTTGTGGACAGTTAGTCGTTAATTTTGCACCAAAAGAGCTTTGGTCTAGCGATACTCGAAGCACAACGGTAAGTCACGCAAAGCTCAATAAGACTTCATTAATCCTTCTTGGAAATCTTGCTTCTGTTGTCGTCCCATCGACTGTGGCTAACTGATCGTATCCAATGTGAGCGCTCAGCCTTATGCTAAACCTTCTCTTAATCAATGTCGATGTTCATTTCATTACTACGAAGTGCGATGGAGGTCCCTTTGGTGTTTCTACAAGGGGGCGATGCTTCGTTTCTCTTGACGTTCAATGCGATCTGTAAATTGGCAAGTTCATGTTGTAGCAAAGACCGGAAACGGTTTTGAATCTCTTCTGAATGCAGCCACATGAAAGCTTATGAAAATACCAATGCAAAAATATAATCACGAATCGATCTGTAAATTGGCAAGTTCATGTTGTAGCAAAGACCGGAAACGGTTTTGAATCTCTTCTGAATGCAGCCACATGAAAGCTTATGAAAATACCAATGCAAAAATATAATCACGAATTGATTTGTTCCTATAAATAGAAATGAAACACCCGACCTCATGGTTAATTAAGGAAAAGATTATCAACTATTACAGTATTGTTTACAGAGGCTTTCACTTTTGGTCTTTGGCCCAGCAGATTTGTTGGGTTTTTAAGCACTGAAAAGATTTCAGATTGGGCCGTCTAGTCAACTTCGGCCCACAAGCTTACGACTACGAGCACGACCGAATCCACTACAATTCTACAAATCTCCACAGATAAAACCCTACCTAGAACTTCGAAGCGGCGGCAGCAACAGCAGTCAGCAGGGAGAAGAAAGAAGAATCGGTCCGTCGCATCGTCGAAGCTCCACATTGCAGCCGCATCCGCTCGCCGCCGGCAGCCATGAAGGTGGCCGCTTCAATAGTTTCCATTATTTCATTCGATGAGATGAAACTAAAGCTCGTATTTGGTGACACTGTTGATCTCACTGTCTTTTTCTTCGGTTTTGCAGTTCAACATCGCTAACCCCACCACGGGGTGCCAGAAAAAGCTGGAAATCGATGACGATCAGAAGCTGTAAGCTATATTCCACCTTTTAATTCGAACACTACTGTGAGCTCCGTAAGCTGGAGGTGTGATAGGTTATGTTTGAAGAGAATAGATGCAATGACAGATCGGATCATTAGAATGGCGTGGTTTTTTTGTTTAATTCTCTACTTGTTGAAGAACATGCCCACTTCCGTATTGCCAACTACGGAATGCTGTAGCTCCATTTCAGGAATTCAAGCAAATTGGTTTAGGGGGGAAGGGTCTCAGTTTCCTTGGTCATATGTAAATTGTAATTCTATGGAATAGCCTACTAGACCTGGACCCAGAGTCTAGGAGATGTTATCTTGCAGCATAGATGATTTAGATAGTTTACATGTTATGCGTAGCTTAGCTATCAAGATACTTGCTCGCAGTGTCGTTTATCCACAAATCAGTCCTTTATTGCAATCTTAGTTTTTATTCTAGTTGTATTGGCTGCATCATTGATTGCTTATCTCGTATGCAGGCGTGCCTTCTTTGACAAGAGGATCTCCCAGGAAGTCAGCGGTGATGCGCTTGGAGAGGTATGCATATTGATATGGTGATTTTGCCCTTTCTTCTTGATGCACGGCTCTTCAAACGCTCATTGTTGATTATTGTTTTTTTTTTTTTGGTATAGGAATTTAAGGGCTATGTGTTCAAAATCATGGGAGGTTGTGACAAGCAGGGTTTCCCCATGAAGCAGGGTGTCCTGAACCCTGGCCGTGTCCGCCTTCTGCTTACCAGAGGTAGATCGGATCCTTATTTGTGCATAGAGTGAATGGAAATGCTTATGAGCATTGGTTTGAAAAGTACCCTTCTTTTTGTGCAAATAGGAACCCCTTGCTTCCGCGGATATGGAAGGCGCAATGGGGAGCGACGAAGGAAGTCTGTGCGTGGTTGCATTGTGAGCCAGGACCTTTCTGTTCTCAACTTGGTCATCGTGAAGAAAGGCGAGAGTGATCTCCCCGGACTGACCGACACAGAGAAGCCCAGAATGAGGGGGCCAAAGAGGGCATCCAAGATCCGCAAGCTCTTCAATCTCTCCAAAGATGATGATGTCAGGAAGTATGTCAACACATATCGCCGAACTTTCACCCGAAAGAATGGTGAGCATCCTTTGATCTAATATGTGATCACCCTAGCATAATTGTAAATGCATTCCGGCTTGAATTTTCACTTATATGTTTCTGGGGACGCACAGGTAAGGAAGCGAGCAAGGCTCCTAAAATTCAGAGGCTGGTGACTCCACTGACTCTACAGAGGAAGAGGGCAAGGCTTGCTGAGAAGAAGAAGAGAGTTGCAAAGGCCAATGCTGATGCCGCTGAGTACCAGAAGCTCCTTGCTTCGAGATTGAAAGAGCAGAGAGATCGCCGCAGCGAGAGCTTAGCCAAGAAGAGGTCCAGATTGTCTGCTGCTTCCAAGCCTTCTGTGGTAGCTTAAGACTGAGAGGTTCTAGGTCGTACCGAATTGTTATTCCTATCCTCTGACTTTCGAAGTTCCTAAATTTTGAATGAAGTTTCCGATGAACTGTTTGTACCCAACAGTTTTGTTATGATCAGTATTTGTGAAGTTTGAAGTTGCCTTCTGACTTGTTCTGTCCGTTTTTCCTTTGCCTTCTTTTCCATGGATTCCTAGTCGTACTCGGAAATGGATACCTAAGTAATGTGAATGTCATGGATTCTAGAATTCTATGAAATATGCTTTAGTTTCCCATGTATGTATGTTGGCCTAAAATTAATAAGTTGCTCTACTATTCATATTCTTTTGTTACAAGTCTTTTGTTACAAGTCTGACCAGAAGAATCTTCTATCAGTTGCCAAAACGTCATTAGTAATATGAAATGGTTGAATTATTATTCCAATACAAAAGTCTTATTATTTTATAAACAAAGCAGTTAACCCCAATTTTCTTTTTTCATATAGAAAGAACTACTTTTATTTTATATCCGAGTTATATATATTTTTTTTTGGTTGTAGTGTGTCATACTATCCATTTCAAACTTTTATGTTGGTCCTTTTCATGTAGTGAGGAACATCATACCATATAAAATTTGTGTCTCTATTTGTTGTCAAACCCAAAATTATTGGAACCATATCAGATTTCCACATATCAAATTCTCAGCACACTCTTTGTAGCTATGTGGTTGCTACCTTTCTAACATGTCCTATCATGTTCTCCACTAATTATATAACAACTGATCACCTGTTTGGTTCTTTTTCTTTCTTTTTTCCACTTATCAAGGTCATGTCTCTTTATATAGGAGGTAACTTTTTCATAGGTCTTTTGTTTATATATGAACTATGTTACCAATATAATTAATAGCTAAGGTAGTGAATTCACAAAAGACTTTGAACTGGACACTCGAATCTATAATCCGACTAGTATGAAAGTCTGTTCATTCAGAATTTTGTAATTCAAAATATTGACATGTATATCCTCTTTTTTGTTTTGGGTTGTTTCTGATCTTTTCTCGAATATTTGGACAATATTATAAGCATGATTAATGATGTGATATATGAAATGTCAAGGTGTTGATTTTGATGGATTTATTTAGTTATTTATCAACTATGGTAGTGTTTATTGGTATTATCCCTAACTAACCAATAAGCCCATAGGCCATAATGCATATTATTAGATGCATAAGACCAACCTTTTGATAGCAACCACGCGTGTTAATCCTAATATCAAATCAACATTGTACTTGCATTCCTCCTTTCTTATCCAAACATTCTTATAGTCATGAATATTGATCATTCCTTGATTTTGGAAACTTGATGTCACAGAGAAATCCACAATGCAAAAAAAAGGAAAGAATTCACAGATTTATGTTATTCACTAATACGATGTGGGCGGGAGAGATCAGTTTCACTACACCTGAGAATATACAGATTATAGAGATATGAGAATGTATATATAACACCTTCTCCATAAGGCCTACCCTGATCCAAAATGGAAATGAAAATGTTACAGACCAAACCCAAAACAGTAAAATAAACCTGTATTATTTGTCTTCAAGTCATGGCAACAAGAATGTTTCAAGTCTACGGAACAAATATTTTCATTTGATTAACCTTCACTCAACAACTCGAGTTATTGAGAGCGAACAAATTGGAGATGATTTGGATGGATGGGAGAGTAGACTAAAATGTTAAATGACCTATCCCTTCTTATTGTAACATGTCCAAGAGTCCTCCCCCTACTTTGTGCGCGTGCTATTTTGGTAATCCTGCGATGAATTGCTTTCTATAGTCTTGATGTCATTTTGTGTTCATGTTCATGTCCCTCTCCCTCCACAAAGTGAAAGTGAAATGCCACCAAAGTCTTGATGTCATTTCAAACTAGTTCTGTTCCTAGCTCACCATTTATACATTTTCCCATGAATCCATTCTCAAAGAGATATGTGTCGAAAATGACAGAGCCTGGAGTTCATTTTGACTTCATTGCCCATTGATATGGACTCTTCTTTTCAATGCGAGGAAAACTCATGTATATGGCTACATATCTTTTATCGAAAGGGTTGTAGTAGTGTGAGGGTTTGGCATCAGAAGGACGGATTGGGACGTTCCGATCTATACCCTCTTCTCGAAGTGTCCTAATGCTAGCGAAATTTTTGTTCGTTAGAGGAAAGAGAGAGAAATAAGACATTTACCTAGAGTCGATGTGATATATAGTTAGAAACTCCAAGCACTGAGTAGCTACCATAGTAGTCATATTAGAGTAAATATAAGGTATTTGTCCATTACAAGCTAGTTTATCAAGAAAATCGAAGACCTATGTATCAAATGAGAGAACCCAATTTAGAATAAGTCGTATTCCATTAACCAAACTAAATGTCCACCACCTTAGGTACTTTTTCCATCTACCTCCTTAAGTGCAAATCTAGATAAGACTTAGGGCTTTGTACTATCAGTCACAACTATATTCAAAACGCTATTAGAATTGACCATGCACAGAGCTATCTAGGGTTTCCCCATCCAACACAAACTAAGGACATGTTTGGTTATTAGTTATTACAAATTTAGAAAGATCACATAGTAATAGTACACCCTATTTCCAACCGATTGTTTGCAATATGCATAACGCGGTTAGGTTTTCAGTTCGATGATTGGTAAAGGAAGTGATAAAAAAACTCGAAAACAAAAGGCTGAAATAATTGTTGTACAATTATGTGCTTTACCTAGATGCTCCCTATACACTACTACTTGACCCATATATAGCCACTAGCTCATGAGCCCTTACCATGCCATCTAGTTTGCTCAAAATTATGCTCTCTCTAGCTAGTTCCTTTCTAGAGTGAGTCTTTTTAGCTAAGCTAGCTAGAGTGAGTCGATGGGGGCACAACTTTCTCTTTCTGAGATGGAACTTGCTATGATCCATGTCGATTGATCTCCTGTTCTAAAAGTGCTAAGAAGTTGGTTGGAGTTTGGTACACTCTTGAGTGGAAGTTGAGTGGGTTAAATCCATTGTTTTGCTTCACATTGGTTCATGTAATCATGTTCATATTTATACCGTCGGTATAAACCGGTCGCTTACAATTTGTAAGAAAACATAATTTCTTCCATTGTATTTTGAAAGTGTTGGGCCATAGCTGAGCGGTATTAGGCTTATAAGCCCAGGGCTTGTAAGCCCACAGAAAGCCCAAGGAGAGGCCCGTCGGGAGGCCCGAGAAGCGGACATGGGGAACAGAGAAAGGAGGGCGGCCGCCCTAGGATGGGACAGGTAGTAGGCCGCCTGACACAATGAGCCGTTACTCGGTATAGGGCGAGATCTCCCCAAGATACTCACCTCGAACTCCGCAGGACTGAGCATTAATTGCCCGCCGTAGGCGGTCTAGATAAAGAAGGGTCGATCTAGGACGCCTGACAATGGCATTTAATGCCCGAAACCCAGACCAGATCACTATAAATACATTCATATCTGCATTGATGGTAAACCAACTACTCTCTCTCTCTCTAACCATAAACACAAATTCTCCATTCCATCTCTAACTTAAGCATCGGAGGGTGTCCAGGGCGACCGCCCAAGGACCCTTGTTTTGCAGGAGTATTGGAGTACCCCATCCTCTAGAACAGACGCATCGCTCGTTCCTCTCAAGACCGCCTAGAACATTCTAGGCTCAAACAATTTGGCGCCCACCGTGGGGCGAGAGATAGCGCTGAAGAAAGGATGGATGGGAGCTCCAACACCCCTGTCAAAGACATGATCGGAAGAAGCGACCCTCGCGGTCCAGAGGCACAGGCGAGTGGCATCCGAGGATTGGAAATGCCCACTGTGGAGGAAGAAATGGAAATGGAGGACCGCGTGAAAAGCCAGGGACAACAAATATCGAGCATGCAAGAGAGCCTGGGCCAGATTTTAGCCATGCTCAAAGAGAAGGAAAGCGAGACGCCTGGAAGCTCAGGAAAGCGGCTGAACAAAGGAAAGAGAAAAGAAGGCGATCCCGACAGCCCTGCTCGGACAGAAGGCGGGGAGTCCGACGAAGAAGAAGACGCCGAAGATCCTAGCTTGGGATTCTTGGAGGAGCACCTCAGACCCACGTATGGCCGGACCAAGGGGCCCACCATCCTCCAAAACCCACTGGCTATGAGCTTATTCAAAACTCAAGTTCCCCCGAACTTCTCATCACTCAGGCTACCAGTGTACGATGGAAACTCGGACCCGGCTGATCACCTGAGCGCCTTCATGCTAAAAATGCAGCTCATCAACGCCACAGACGCGGATTTATGCAAGGCGTTCCCAGTCACATTTGGCGGTCAGTGTAGAACTTGGTACACATCCTTGCCAGAGGGAATAATTGAAGACTTCGAGCAGTTCGCGACTCTTTTCTCTTCGAAGTTCGCGTCCCAGCGAAGGAGAAAGCTGACGGTATCGTCACTGATAAACTGCAAGCAAGGGGGAGACGAGCCGCTCGCGGACTTCTACGATAGGTGGAACACAATAGCTGGTGAAGTGCAGGGCATCTCACCAAGTGTGGCGGCGGGAAACCTGCGTATGTCCACCCACAGCCATGAGCTGCGAAGAGCGCTTATCAAGAAGGAGCATGCGCTAAAGGAATGGCCTGATCTCGACCGCTTAGTGAGAAAGGCAATCTTGCTGGAGGAAGCTATGGTTGCGGAAGACGCTAGCAAACGCGCCAGTACGAGAGGCGAGAAGAAGAAGGGCGGTTCACCCAAGAGGAGGGGGCGGTCCCCTGAAATGCGGAATTATAAACCCCGGTACACACACCGGGACAACAGGAGAGAGGTTTTCACCGCTAGCCGAGAGGAAAGAAGAGACAGCAAAGGCGAAGGAAATGCGCACCAGACGCACAGGAGGGAGGAAGACCGGAAATGGTGTGACTGGCACCAGATGCCCACACATGACACCACAGAGTGTCGAGAGTTCAAGGCAAGCCTGAAATATCTAGCGCCCGGCGACCTCAAAAGTCGTTTGGACACCAGACCGCATCGGCACGAGCAGAGGCATCAAAGGGAAAGGTCGCCAAGTCCGAGGCACAGATCCCGAACGCCCAAGAGAGGAAGGTCCAGATCGCAAAGGAGGAACCGCTCCCCAAGGCAGGACCGTTCCCCAAAGCGTGACCGCCTTCCTCCACCGCCGAGAAGGTCCCCTCGTCGGCAGCCACGTGTGAACGAAGATGACATCGAAGTCATAACCATTGCAGGAGGACGCAAGAGACCCAGAAGTGAGGGGGAGCGCTTGGTCCAGTGTCTAAATGTCAATAGGAGCGAGCAAGTGGACATCAACTTTTCACCCTCTGAACTGGCCCAGGGTGAGAGCGCCGAGGATCCACTAGTTATCTCATTAAGGACGAGGAAGTTTAAAGTAACCAGGGCATTAGTGGACAATG